CAACACTGTATGGTCTTCTATGTTCACATCTGTAGAAAAAATAGTTACCTTCCGAGTGGATATGTTTCCATCTGCTAATGTAATTGTAACTGTTTCATATTTTATTTCTGATGATTTCTCAACATGGGCTTTATAAATCTCGAAACGTCGTTTTCCTGCAATGGTCCTTGAGGCTCCTGTGTCTGCATAGGCAAACCCACTTTCACTAAAAACTGTTATTGGAAGAACAGGTCTTGACGGCTTGGAAGAATCATTTGGGACATCCATCGATTCCAAATAGTGTGGCTGGTTTTTGCTGGCTTTGATTATTTGAAGTACTTCCTTAGTTATGTTTTTTACATTTTGGGCAATTTGTCCTAATAACTCCTGGTGTTCCACAACCATAGCATGTAGGAGTAACTTTTTCTTTCTTATCCCGGCGTCTTTCTTCGTTTTTCTCCCTAGGAAGTTCATCTTTGTGTTTGGTTTTGCATTCTTCAACCTGGTGCCCCAAACATTGACAATAAGCACATTTTGGCCTTACACTATTTTTATTGTCACTTGACCTTTGTGTATTTTGTCTTGAATTCATATTTGTGGTTTGGATTTCTTCAAACATAATTTCAATGGATCGGCTTCGCACCAGTAGGTCCATGAACGTTTTTATGTCATCTCTAGGAATTTTATCTCTTATGCGCCTGGCTCTGTGTCATTTGCGCGACAACCGTTTGCGCGAGGGAGAAAAGCGCGATACGAAAAGCGCGAGGGACAAAAGCGCGACGGAACAAAAACGCGACAGGAAAAAAGCGCGATGGATACAAACGCGATGGATACAAACGCGACTGGATAAAAACGCGAGGAACAAAAGCGCGAGGGACAAAAGCGCGACGGAACAAAAGCGCGAGGGACAGAAGCGCGACGGAACAAAAACGCGAAGAGCAAAAGCGCGACTGAACAAAAACGCGACTGGATAAAAGCGCGAGAAACAAAAGCGCGAGGGACAAAAGCACGACGGAACAGAAACGCGAGGGACAAAAGCGTTGTTGAAATGGCTGCCAACAAATAAAGGACCGGGTATAGAAAGCCCCCAGCGACGAGTTCAAAATATGAGCAAGTTAATTCTCGATTGTTAAACTTAGTCCAAGAATACCCTTTCTCCAACGTACAAAATCCCCTTAAAGCAGTAGCTTTAAACTCAACCATTTAAACTTAGCATTCCATAATTTGTATTTTTAACTAATCTATTTGGTTTTTTTGTTAATAAAGTTTATCATGTTGTCCTACTTAGAACTATAGAATAAGTGATGAACAAATTGAATCAATAATAATCGAAAAAACGCAGACTTACTCAATCTAACCCAAACTAACCCGTCCGCCTAGTAAAATCTAGTCCTAGTAAGTTAGCTTTTATTGCAGACTTACTCAATCTAACCAAAATTAACCCGTCCGCCTAGTGCGATCTAGTCCTCGTAAGTTAGCATTTCATTGCAAACTTACTCAAACTAACCCAAACTAACCCGTCCGCCTGGTGCCATCTAGTCCTCGTAAGTTAGCATTTTATTGCAGACTTACTCAATCTAACCCAAATTAACCCGTCCGCCTAGTGCGATCTAGTCCTCGTAAGTTAGCATTTTATTGCAAACTTACTCAATCTAACCCAAACTAACCCGTCCGCCTAGTAAAATCTAGTCCTAGTAAGTTAGCTTTTATTGCAGACTTACTCAATCTAACCAAAATTAACCCGTCCGCCTAGTGCGATCTAGTCCTCGTAAGTTAGCATTTTATTGCAGACTTACTCAATCTAACCCAAACTAACCCGTCCACCTAGTGCGATCTAGTCCTCGTAAGTTAGCATTTTATTGCAGACTTACTCAAACTAACCCAAACTAACCCGTCCGCCTAGTGCGATCTAGTCCTCGTAAGTTAACATTTTATTTAAAAAAAATGTCAACCTTGTTTTTCAAATAAAATGCTAACTTACGAGGACAAGATCGCACTAGGGGAACGGGTTAGTTTGAGTAGTCTGCATTTTTTTGATTATTATTGATACAATTTGATGTGTCCCTGTTTTGCTTAGAGGTCGCCGTTGTTGATGTCGCTGTTTTAAATCTCGTTCTTTACATATGTCGCTCTTCTGCAATGTCGCTGTTTCAAGTATCGCGCTTTCGAATGTCGCTTTTTTGATATGTCGCTACTTTTTTCACATGTCGCTGTTTTGAATGTCGCTATTTTAATAAGTCGCTGTTTTGAATATCGCTATTTTGATGTATCGCTTTAAAAATATGTCGCCTTTTTAATGTCACTATTTCAAATATCGCTCTTTTGAACCGGAGCCACTGAGAATGTCTTAATGTCTTGTATTTTGGAAAGCATTCTATATTCCTCGTAGATAGTCGAGCGTTCTCATCCAATCGCGCTTTATTCCAGCCGCGTTTTTGTTCCTCGCGCTTTTGTCCAACGCGCTTTTATCCAGTCGCGTTTTTGTCCATCACTCTTCATTCAGGTCGCGTTTTTGTTCTGTCGCGCTTTTGTCCCTCGCGTTTTTGTTCCGTCGCGCTTTTGTCTCTCGAGTTTTTGTCCCTCGCACTTTTGTTCAGTCGCGTTTTTGTTCCTCGCGCTTCTGTTCAGTCGTGTTTTTGTTCCGTCGCGCTTTTGCCCCTCGAGTTTTTGTCTCTCGCGCTTCTGTTCAGTCGGGATCTTGTTCTGTCGCGCTTTTGTACCTCGCGTTTTTGTCCCTCGCGCTTTTATCCAGTCGCGTTTTTGTTACTCTCGCTTTTCTCCAGTCGCGTTTTTGTTCCGTCGCGGTTTTGTCCCTCGCGCTTTTCGTATCGCGCTTTTCTCCCGGCTGTCGCGCAAATGACACGGAGCCTATGCGCCTACTATCTAATAAGCCGTATACCAGGTCTAGGCAGACTATTTCATCTAGTGTATAGGGTTACTTGGACAAAATAGCTTTGGCATTGCAAATAAATAGTTCCGTCTTAAGTCTATCTTGTGCTTGTGAGAACAACTGTTGAAATAACTTATGGGCTGGCTCCTTTCTGCCAAAAACATCTCTAAGCAACTGAACGGCTTCATCCCAACATGTGATTGTATATTTTATGCCTTTATACCAAGTAGCAGCTAAACTAATCAATAACATGGGCAATCCTTTGAGTGCATTTTCATCTGACACATTAGCGCAGCATTAAGTTTCCACTGCATCGATGAAGGCTTCAAGAGAAGTTGAAGGGCAAGCATCGAAGCGGCTTGTGCATTTGATATTTAAAACGATTCAAACGATCAAAGCAAAACAGCGCCATATTAAAAGAGCGACATCTAAACAGAACAGCAGCATATTAAAGAAACGATATTTGAAACGACGACATCTAAACAAAAGAGCAACACATCAATTTTAATCAAGAAAATGCAAACTTTCAAACTTACTCAAATTAACCCAAAATAGCCTGTCCGCCTAGCGCGATCTAGTTCTCGTAAGCATTTTATTTTATAAAACAAAGTTATAGCTATTTATATAACAAGTACATAAAGTAAGGCTTTATTGTACGAATAATTTTATGGCCGAGCGAGCTTGCGAGCGAGGCTATTAAATAATGAGTCAATAAAGCCTGTTTATGTAAGCGTTATATACATGATTTTATGTACGATTACGACTGTTTTTTGTTAAAAGTTTACAAAATTTAATGAAAAAAGTAAAATTCGCGTAGGTATACCTGTTTCACCTTGGCAGGTTGTCAAGATCTGTTTCACCTTGTCAGGTAGTCCAGGTAGGCAATAAAGTAGCACTTTATTTTACTAGTAAAATAAAGTAGCACTTTATTTTACTAGTACAATAAAGTGCTACTTTATTGACGCAAAACTGTTCTGACTATAAATAGCACTTTATTGATCAATCGGACATAAATTTACTTATAGCATAGCGTCTCTTGAGCACGCGTTGTTTTTTAAATAAAATGCTAATTTACAAAGACTAGATCGCACTAGGCGGACGGGTTAGTTTGAGTAAGTTTGCATTTTTTTGATTATTATTGATTCAATTTTTTTGTATTTTTGCTAGATTTACGTTTCCGAGGATCTTCTCTTTTGAGGTTTGGCGAGCAATCCGAGACTCAAAAATAATTTAAATTTCAAGGTGCTATTTAAAACAGGTTTTTTTTTTTGTGTGTTTGTATTAGCTTATCCAAAACACGTGACTTTGACAAACAAATAAAGGGTTTGTGTGGCTCTGACTGAATTATAATAATAATAAAAAAAATGTCTTTAGGCAAACGTTAGGTGTTTGTAATTGTAACATACCTATAACGTCTTTAAGATGTCGTCATGACTCTTTCAATGTCGTTTATGGGCATTTTAGGGACGTCCTCCAAACACCTCTGTGCTGTCTTCTGAACAATCAATGAAAAAATCGCAAATAAATTCAAAAATTGAAATTCCTACATCATAAATATTATTTATCAGGTCTTTTCATCCTCATCAAATCAAATCCTAAAATTGTGTAATGTTTATTCAAATTATTTATTGACGTCCTAAAAAGAAAAAAGAATTTTATTTAAATTAAAAGACTAAGCCTATAAATATGAGAAGTCGGGTATATATCAAAGTAGCTCATTATTAATTCATTAGCTCAACGACCTTTATTTAATAAATTATGAGATTTTGAAGAATTTCTCTGACGCACATCTTTGCTCGACCGTGGCACGTGGCTTACGCATTCACCCCAAAAGTCCCATTAACATTAAAATAAAACCCAAACCAAAGAAAAATATTTTGTTAGTCTGATTCCTGATGCCAAAGACAATGGGTGGTGTGAATAAAAACGAAGTACTTGCTACTACTACAAGTATTAGTATGTCCTACGTAGTATTTACTTCAAAACGAAGTAGATACTACATTTCAGTAGTTTCGGAATGTAGTATCTACTTCGTTTTGAAGTAAATACTACGTAGAACATACTAATACTTGTAGTAGTAGCAAGTACTTCGTTTTTATTCATACCACCCAATAATTTTATTTTTTTTTAGGACAAAAACGTAACTTGTCCTCAACCCAAAATGACTTTGCCTAAAACAAACGGTTACCCAGTGGCCCAAGAAGTGAAAACCTACAAATCCAGGGAAGAGCAAGTTAAGGAAATGAAAGCCAGAGGGGATTATATTGGATTATTACCCGCAGAAATCGGCACCGATTATTCGTTTAAACGTAAAATAGTTTGGCCCAATGCCATCGGGTTTGCAGCCCTTCACTTGGTGGCCCTTTATGGATTTTGGGTGCTGATTTTTGATGCAAAAGTTTGGACAGTTGTCTGGAGTAAGTAAACAGTTTGTATACTAATTTTGTCAATCAAGTTTTCATGATTCCAAAAACTTGATTATTGAAATACATGAAAATATAGGCCCTAAAACTCAACTAAACCCAATGATATGAAAAAAAAATTTCATCATTTTTTATAACATAAAATGGGTCAAAACCGTTTACCCTTGTAAATCATCTTAATTAGATATTCCATTTTTGTTTTAGGTTTTTCTTATATACATACATACAAATTCCGCAATAATTTCTCATTAATTATCAAATTATTGGTAAGAAGAAAAAATTGGGCAACTTAATACACACACGTTTGAAAGTTTTAATTTTTTGATGAATGTCATGGCAAGTCATGGCTTAACCTCGATTAAATTTCATAATTAGTTTTAACTGATGTGATCTGTTATTAATGGATTTTAATATGATATTTCTTTATAGATTTTTCCAAATTTTCTCGAGAGATTTTAATGAATAACTTACCAATTTTTCTTCTGGTTTTTTATAAATGTTATGCTTTTTTTCTTCTTCTTCTTGCATTTTTTCTTCTCCAGTTTTCCCTCCTATATTTTTTTTCATTATCCCATCCTGACTGCTCTTCTTTTAGATCAAACAATGCGAACTCAATATTTTGCTCAAAAATAGCTCCTATTTTATTCAGTTTGTCCACCTTTTCAAAGCTCTTTCTCAACTTTGCCATAACTTTTATAACTATTTTCCTTTAGTCTTTTTGTGTTTTTGTTTTGGCTCTTTTCGCTGTTTGTCCGTTTTCATATTTCTTTTTCCTCCGGCTTTTCTCCACTGCTTTGGAGATTTTCGCCTCAATTTTCCCCATTTTTCGAACCTTAGAATAAAACGAACTAATTATGAAATTATTGCTACATGGATAGGTACCCTGTAAACACAGCTACATAAAGTTAAAATAGTAATTTACGTAAACACTTATTATTATACAGGGTGTCTGTAATAACATGGGGCAATTTAAATTACAAAATGCATACGCACTTTTTTCTTTGTTGCCTTGTATATTCATTGCTATTCCGAGTTTGAAGAAGTTGATGACAGATTTTGTGTAAGCATTTGGTCCACGATGTATCTTCAATGGTTTCCGAAATCCTTCAAGTTACTCTGGACAGCCTGTATAAATTCTTATTTTTTTTTTTCAAGTCAAAATACGGTAAAATGTAACTCAAATGTTACACAAATAGATGTAAAATTTATATCACAAAGTTCTGCATTTTTGGCTCTGAAAATTTTTGATAATCAGACATTGTCCCACAAAATCGCTCATACCACAAATAATATTTCACAAATTTCACTCTATATTTATATGCTCTTAATCAGAATTGAATGCTCTTCAAGATAAAACAAAATTCAATCATTTATCTGAAATAGTTTTCAAGATATTGAGGCTCAAAGTTAAAACTCTATCTCAAATTTTGCATACCCCTTAAAAAAGTTCAATTTTCTATGTACAGGGTGGGCCAAATTGGACACTTTCTTATGGAAACACCCCTTATTTTTAGAGATAGAAAAAAATGGACCCCCCACTCAGAGGCTCAAATTTCATGAAATTTTGATTGGTGCAAACTGCATTTTGATATCTTCAACCGTTTAGCCGCTAGAGGGCGATTCTCGACTTTGAGCATACTGTAAAGCCTCCATAACTTTCTTGTTTATGAAAATAATTCATTTCCGTAAAGACCTTTTGGAAGCACTTTTTCAAGCAGAATTCAGTGACATTCTCAGTTTTTTTCTGTCTGGCTTCGATTTCGAGATTTTGACCAAAATCCGATTTTTTTCAATAGGACACTCTATATATTAATAGTTCATTAGAAAGCTATGCTTTCGCTGATTTTAATTTTAATGAAAATTATTTCGGTTTTTGTCATAAGAAACAATGTGTTGGAAAAGGACTTTATCTCTGTAAGGAAACTGAGAAAGGTCTCTTTCTTACACATTGTTTTTTATGACAAAAACCGAAATATTTTTTTTTCTCGAAAACTGTTAAAGATAAACCTATCAAACCTGTATCATTAAAATCAGCGAAAGCATAGCTTTCCAATGAACTATTAATATATAGAGTGTCCTATTGAAAAAAATCGGATATTGGTCAATATCTCGAAATCGAAGCCAGACAGAAAAAAACTGAGAACGTCACTGAATTCTGCTTGAAAAAGTGCTTCCAAAAGGTCTTTACGGAAATAAATTATTTCCATAAACAAAAAAGATATGGAGGCTTTACAGTATTGCTCAAAGTCGAGAATCGCCCTCTAGCGCCTAAACGGTTGAAGATATCAAAATGCAGTTTGCACCAATCAAAATTTCATGAAATTTGAGCCTCAGAGTGGGGGCTCCATTTTTTTCTATCTCTAAAAATAAAGGGTGTTTCCATAAGAAAGTGTCCAATTTGGACCACCCTGTACAGCTTTGAATAATCATACAGTTTTGTATATTTTCATATGGTTTTCTATTTGTAGGTTGATCGAGTGTACGCCACTGGTAATTTCCTGTTTCTGACTATCCCCTCAACCTTTTCATGTTAGTATGAATTCATTCAGAATTTGTAAGATTATCTACTTTTTGTCAATTTGCCTTTCAACAGGAATTAGTAATGTTACTTTACTAAACTAGTAACATAATGTGACAAGTTACTCAAGTACAAATGAGTGAATTGTTGCGGAACTTATGGGTGGACCTCTGCGGGACGAGCGCAGCGAGTTCCGCAGCCATCTATTCATCAATATGTTTGTTTAAATACGATACTAACCTGACTCACTCAAATGTGAGTTATTCTCATTAGTTTAAAAACTACATGTTTCAGGTGAATGTCTTATTTGAACAGTTCAACAATATATTGATGAGTAGATGGCTGCGGAACTTGCTGCGCTCGTTCCGCAGAGGTTCATCCATGAGTTCCGCAATAATCCCCTTATTTGTACAGGGTATTTTTTATATATTGACCATATATGACTCCACCTACAACCTTTACCATTACACGTATATAACTAAAAATTCAAATTTTATCAAGAAATTGCTATATTAAGATACTGTTTTAACAACAGAAATCAAAAATTCATTAATTTTTGTGCTAGTTTGGTTATTACGTTTTTTTCGTATCTTCAACAATAAGGGTGGGGAAAGCTGGTGGGAAAATAGTTTCAAAAATTGCTGTATATTCCATACCCTTCATCCAAACTCTTTCAATTTGGGCTTATTTGAAAGAGAATTTCATTGGTATTAAGAACACCACCAAGGTCAATAGTTCCCATTGGATTTGGCTAATAGTTATCATCAAATTCCTATGGAAGAATCAACAATTTCACAACTACACCAGTTGGTCATTTTGAATATTTAAGGATGCTGTTTGGATTGTGTAATGCTCTTACAGTTTTCCAATCAATAAAATTTTGAGGAATCTGAGATATGGAAAAGCCATAACCTATACGGATGACTCAACTCATAGGAGAGGGACTGCATAATTTGCAAGAGGTGTTGGATTCGTTCGAAAAAGCTGGACTCACATTTCGAATTTCCAAGTGCCAATTTCAACATAAATAAGTTACAAGTGACACTAACTATGAACTGCCAAACCTAATGTAACACCTTGTAACTAACAACATTGCTTATGAAATCATGATTCGTCATTTTCAACATAAAAACACCCTCGGATATGAGCATGGCTTCCTTGTTTCACCCATTTATTTGTCCCTCCTGAGATGCCGACTTAATATTCTCATTTCATAAGTTTGTGCCATCCTTTTTGTTTCCGCTGTGTCAGCTCGTGTTTTTGCCGTACCGTGTATGTCATTACGGGCCCGACATATGCTTTATATATTCTAACTTTGGTCGGGGTTGATATATGCATGTATTTTTCCATATGGTTGTTCGTAAGGCTCCTGCTAGTCCTACTATCCTGGCTGCCTCGTTTACCTAATCCAAACTTATTCAATTTGGGCTTATTTGAAAGAGAATTCCATTGTTATTAAGAACACCACTTCGTTCAAGGTTGATAGTTTCCATTGAATTTGGCTAGTGATTATCATCAAATTCCTATGGAAGAATCAGCAATTTCACAAACAGCATTTACTACACCAGAAAGTCATTATGATTATCTAAGGATGCCGTTTGGATTGTGTAATGCTCTTGCAGTTTTTCAGTCACAAAGTTTCAAGGAATCTGAGATATGGAAGAGCCATCCATAGCCTATATAGATGACATATTGCTTCCTGCCTCAACCATAAGAGAGGGGCTGCATAATTTAAGATTCGTTTGAAAATGCTGAACTTACATTTAAAATTTCCAAGTGCTAATTTCAACATAAATAAGTTACAAGTGGCACTTAGCATGAACTTCCAAACCTAATGTAATACCCTGTAACTAACAACATTGCCTACCAAATCATGATTCGTCATTTTCATCTTAAGAAAAAACCCTCGGATATGAGCATGGCTTCAATATTCCAGCAAGTCACAACAATGTTGAAAAACCTGAAACAAAAATAGAACTCACCCCACTTAAGGGTTTGTACAGTTTCCTGATTTTTCTAAATTTTTCAATTTTTGTCTTTTCCAAACGAAAGAAGAGGTCAAATTAAGTAGAAAAGTATTTCCGTAATTTTTTTTTGATTGACGTTTTAGGGTCTGTGAAAAATTAAAAAAGATTTTTGTATTTTTTGTCCTGAAAAATTTTGATCATCTAACATTGCCTCACAACATCGCCCAAAACACAGTTAAAATTTTACAAATTCTGATGCATATTTATATATTCTTAATCAGAATTCAATGCTCCTTAACATAAAATAAAATTCAATCATTTATCTTGAATAGTTTCCGAGATCTTGAACCTCAAAGTTGAAACTTTGTCTCAAAATCTAGAAAACCTTCAAAGTTGATTATCTCGAAAACGAAGCCCTAGGGCACGATGCCCCAAAAAACCTTTTTTCAAGCCCCAATCGAGAGCTACAAGCAGACAAAATTTCACAACGATAGCTTTTCTGGTTTCCAAAATATGGTCCTTTGAAATATTTGAAAATGAAATTTCCTTGCATAGATAGGTACCCCTTGGAAAAAATTGAATTTTGATTTTTCTTTTTAAATTTTTGACTTTACCAATCGGAAGAGGGGGTCAAATTTAGTGGAAAAGCTTCTTCATGATTTTTCTTTGTGACAATTTTGGGCCTGTAAAAAATTAAGAATGATTTTTGCTTCTTTTATCCTGAAAAATTTTGATCATTCGACATTGCCTCACAACATTGCCCAAAACAAAGTTAAAATTTCTTAAAATCTAATGCATATTTATATATTTTCAATCAGAATAGAATGCTCTTCAACATAAAATAAAACTGAATCATTTGTCTCAAATAGTTTCCGAGATATCAAGTGTCAAAGTTGAAACTTTGTCTCAAATTCTAAAAAACATTCAAAGCCGATTATCTCGAAAACGAAGACATAGGGCTTGATGCCCCAAAAAACCTTTTTTGAAGCCCCAATCGAGAGCTACAATAAGACGAAATTTTATACCATGATTATAAAATCCTCATTGAGGAAACAGAAAAGATTCCTTTTGCCTTTCATCCTTGAAAATAATCCTTCTATAGAGCAATTATTAGGAAATTTTTAATTCGTACCTATTTTTTGTAATTCGATTGACCAATTAAAAATAAAATATGCATTTTTTTTTTTGTAGCTCTCTTTGTAGCCTGGAGTAGCGGAATAGGAGTGACTACCGGAGCCCACCGATTATTCTGTCATAGATCTTACAAGGCCACTTTTGCTACACGTCTCATGTTGATATTGTTCCACACATTGGCAGGACAAGTGAGTAATAACAACACAAATTGTTGCTTAATAATAATAATGAAATACTAATAATCTACACTGATTACAAAAGATTATTATACGACGTATTGTTTTATTCAAACAATTATTATTAATAAAAAGTTGTGACGAACAATATGCTTTTTTTTTTGGGTTTGTATTGTTTAATTATGTAACGTCATTAATAATAAATTGAATTCAATTTGGAAATGGCAATAAAAACAAAAAAAATTATGGGTTTCAATCAATTTTTTCATTTCCTATAGACTAATTACTAAGCAAATTTGCATAATCAAAATACTTTGACTTGCTCCATTATTAAAATCTAAATGATAAGGAAGTACCTTATTTGGCAACAATTAATAAATTAGGGTAATTAGGCAAAAAAAACATGTTATTATTTTTTGTTTTGTTTTAGAATTGTCTCTATATTTGGGTGAGAGATCACAGACAACATCACAAATACAGCGACACCGATGCGGATCCTCACAACGCTCACAGAGGTTTCTTCTTTTCTCACGTTGGTTGGCTTATGAGCAGGAAACATCCGGCTGTTATTTCCAAAGGAAAAGCTATAGATATGAGCGATTTGGAAGCAGATTGGCTAGTTATGTTTCAGAAAGAGTAAGGAATATGTCAGCTATAAATCTACAGAGATATTTTGAAAATTAGAAATTAATTATTTCTGTGTTTATTTAGCTATTTAAGTTTATTTTTACAGTTTCTATAATTGTCAGGACTTGTAGTCCTTCACTGCGACTAAATTTTCGAAAAAAGTCAAGCTATGTACCTAGGTACATTGTTAAAGCAATAAGGAAAATACTCATTAGGGATTTTATTTAATCTACAATCTCCAAAATATTAGGGAATTTTATAAATATCAGAGGTAGATCTGTTTGCCTTGATTCAATATTTACTTCAGCTTATTTTTTCAATTTTTAAATCAGGCAATTGTCAGAAATTATGGTTCTTTACAAAGATTTCTATAAAATTGAGTTGCCTTCTTTACTTCATCCGAAATCCTGAAAAAAATGGGCATTTTACAAATTTCAGTAAAGGTAGGTAGTCCCAAAATGATCATTTAAAGTCAAAAAATCTGAATTATTACCACTTTTAAAGGGGGAAATCTGAATTTTTTGAAGAATCTTATTCCAGTGAGAAAATCTCTCTAAGAAATAAAGAAGGAACTTGTTTTGTATAATAAAAAAGCTCTAATTATCAAATCCTGAAAGTTTCAAGCTGCTGTCAAACGTCAAAATATTTTTCAGGAACCTTCAAAGATTATTTTTAAGGAATTTTATGATTTTCTCAAGTATCGATCAATGAGTAAAGAAATCCATAACTTTGGTTGTGAGTTTTATATCAATTCGCAACTTGTTTTGTATCATGGAAAAACTCTTTTTAATAAATCCGGAAAGTTTCAAGTGGCTGTGATGGCTCAAAGTATTTTTCAAGAAGCTTCAAAGATGATTTTGTATCACGAAAAATCTCTAACTAATAAATTCTGAAAGTTTCAAGTTGCTGTGATGGCTGAAAGTTTTCTTTCAGGAACCTTCAAAGATGATTTCACAGGTATTTTATGATTTTCTTAGGTATCCATGAGTACAAATTTTCGAAACTTTGGTTGTGAGTATCATATCGACTTCCAACTTATTTTGTATCATGAAAAAACTCTGATTACTAAAACCCGAAAATTTCAAGTTGTTGTGATAGCTCAAAGTATTTTTCAGGAATTTTCATAAATGATTTTTGAGGTTTTCTTTGATTTTTTCAGGTATCAATGAGTAAAAATATTCGCAAATTTGGTTGTGAGTTTTATATCAACTTCCAATTTGTTTTGTATCATGGAAAAGCTCTGATTAATAAATCCTGAAAGTTTCAAGTTACTGTGGTGACTCAAAGTATTTTTCAGGAACCTTCAAAGATGATTTTACAGGAATTTTATGATTTTCTCAGGCTCAGGTATTAATAAGTAAAAATATTCGCAACTTTGGTTGTGAGTTTCATATCAACTTCCAACTTGTTTTGTATCATGAAAAAGCTCTAATTACTAAATCCTGAAAATTTCAAGTTGCTGTGATAGCTCAAAGTATTTTTCAGGAATTTTCAAAAGTGATTTTCGAGGATTTTTTTTTCATTTTTGCAGGTATCAATGAGTAAAAATATTCGCAACTTTGGATGTGAGTTTCATATCAACTTCCAATTTGTTTTGTTACATGGAAAAACTCTAATTAATAAATCCTGAAAGTTTCAAGATGCTGTGATGGCTCAAACTATTTTTCAGGAACCTTTAAAGATGATTTAACAGGAATTTTGTGATTTTCTCAGGTATTAATAAGTAAAAATATTCGCAACTTTGGTTGTGAGTTTCATATGAACTTCCAACTTGTTTTGTATCATAAAAAAGCTCTAATTACTAAATTCTGAAAATTTCAAGTTGCTGTGATAGCTCAAAGTATTTTTCAGGAATTTTCAAAAGTGATTTTCGAGGATTTTTTTCATTTTTGCAGGTATCAATGAGTACAAATTTTCGAAACTTTGGTTGTGAGTATCATATCGGCTTCCAAATTATTTTGTATCAAGAAAAAACTCTGATTAATAAATCCTGAAAGTTTCAAGATGCTGTGATGTCTCAAACTATTTTTCAGGAACCTTTAAAGATGATTTAACAGGAATTTGGTGATTTTCTCAGGTATTAATAAGTAAAAATATTCGCAACTTTGGTTGTGAGTTTCATATCAACTTCCAACTTGTTTTGTATCATAAAAAAGCTCTAATTACTAAATCCTGAAAATTTCAAGTTGCTGTGATAGCTCAAAGTATTTTTCAGGAATTTTCAAAAGTGATTTTCGAGGATTTTTTTCATTTTTGCAGGAATCAATGAGTAAAAATATTCGCAACTTTGGATGTGAGTTTCATATCAACTTCCAATTTGTTTTGTTACATGAAAAAACTCTAATTAATAAATCCTGAAAGTTTCAAGATGCTGTGATGGCTCAAACTATTTTTCAGGAACCTTCAAAGATGATTTAACAGAAATTTTATGATTTTCGCAGGTATTAAATAAGTAAAAATATTCGCAACTTTGGTTGTGAGTTTCATATCAATATCCAGCTTGTTTTGTTTTATGAAAAAACTCTAATTATCAAATTCTGAAAGTTTCAAGGTGCTGTGATGGCTCAAAGTATTTTTCAGGAATTTTCAAAGATGAATATACAGGAATGTTCTGATTTTCTCAGATATCAATGAGTAAAAAATAGTATATTATTCAACGAGCGGGTAATAATGGCTATTACTCACGAAGGATGAAGTTTGCACTACGAACCGCAGGCGAGTAGTGTCATCGTCCGAGTGAGTAATAGCCATTACCCACGAGTAGAATACTATACTTTTTCTATGATTAATAGATTAATAGATAGGCAGGAGTTATGCGGTTTTTTATTTAATTTTCGTAACAAAATTTGTTGACAATTCTGACAGCTAGAGGATAAAGTGAGGTTTGGTTAGCACAAGTTTTGTCCAAATCAGCTGTCAAAATGAGCGATTGGAAGGTTGAAGTAAGTTGTCAACTTGTCGAATTTTCTGATTGGCTCTTAAATAGTGGAGTAATGGGACTAGGCTATTTTCATTGGTTGAAAACAATTCAGTAATGAAAAAAAACTCACTGTATGAGTAATCATTCACATTGATCAATAGAAAATGAATGTATATTATGCATATTATTCAATATTCATAGAAAAACTCCATAACTTTGGTTGCAAGTTTCATATAAACTTCCAATTGGTTTCGTATCATGAAAAAACTCTAATTAATAAATGCCTGAAAGTATTTTTCAGGAACCTTCAAAGATAATTTCACAGGAATTTTGTGATTTTCTTAGGTACTTACTTTGTAGTCATTTATTAATAAATGAATTTATTTTTGACTCATAGAAACAAAAGTACTACTCTGGCTTCAAGAAATACATATGTCCACATGAAGTTTTTTATTGAAGACTTTTCTACTTCAGAAGATCAAATATTAAAAATGAAGCCCGATTGCTTTGAATCCTAATAATAAACCACGCAAATAAATTCAATAATCAATTATAAAATTCTGTTATACCTACCGTAGTACCATCTGTTAAATAACACTTCAACCTCTTTCTTTTTTAAGAATTTTAGTACCACCTAGATGCCGCTAGTTTGTCCACTTAATCAATTTTAAAAATTTAAACAATTTCCAGGCACTACAAGACACTTTACCTCATATTCGCCATCCTCCTTCCTTCAGTAGTACCAGTCTACTACTGGAACGAAACTTGGTGGAACGCCTTTTTCACAGCCTACCTTTTCCGAAGCGTTTTGGTACTGAACTGCACTTGGTCGGTGAACAGTGCGGCTCATTTATGGGGAAATCAACCATTCGACAAGTATGTTGATTATCTAAAATACACCAAAATATGATAACAATTAAAATATTTTCCAGATACATGATGCCAGTAGAATCCGGCTTCGTATCAATGGTGTCTGTTGGTGAAGGCTGGCACAACTACCACCACGCTTTCCCTTGGGATTATAGAGCGGCAGAATTTGGCTCCAAATACAGCATTTCAACTTTAGTAATAGACGCACTTGCCTCATGTGGATTTGCTTACGATTTAAGAACCACGCCTTACCATATGGTTCAGAAGTAAGTACCAATTAATATCTATACAATCCAGTATTAATTGACTTTTAGGAGAGCTGAACGTACTGGTGATGGATCTCATCCAATCTACGGCCGTCTAGCAGAAAAACTGGAAACTACTGGAAAACTAGATGACAGCGACATTGCCGAGCTACTAAAAACCAAAGAAACTGGATCTGTAAGGCGATTGGTAACCGCACAAGGTTGAACACTTTTTAAGGGTTGATTTTCATATAAGCAGCTTAAATTATTATAATCTTTGTGTGATGTGTGTAGTTAGTAATTTCTCTTGAGGGTATTAGTAGTTTAAATAAAAATAATATTGTTATTTATATTTATAAAAAAAATATTATATTTTAATAACCAGCTTTAGTATATGTACCTACCCATAGTTATTTTTGTAGTGTTAAATATGTGGAATTTATAAATAAATTAAATGTTTGTTTATTAAATTCGTGCCATAATGTTTCTAAATTGACTAATTATCCGTTATTGATTTCAATTTTTTTCTTTTTGTACTTTGTTATTGAAATACATTGTATGTAGTATAAATTCCACATTATTTTTTAAGCACACCAAAATTTAGTTTAAGTGAAATATTAGAATATTTTGTGATTTTTTTTTTGTATTAGTTTATAAGGGTTAGTGAATAAATTTGTGCTAATAATTAATTATGTTTTTTTTTTACTTGGGATGAAATAATATAATAAAGCAGGAAATATTTACAGTTTATAAATAATAACAGCTACTGACACTTAATTATCTAATTTATTCAAACAAAACAATTATTTGACATTGCACGGATATGGATAATATTTCTAGTAATTAATATTTTATTATCTAGAAGTAAAACGATACTGGACGTTATGGGAAATCTGATACAAATTCCCGGTGAAAGGATTTTGGTTCTAAGAACTATAAGATTTTGGTAGATTTAAAATGTTGAATATGGAAAGTTTTTTTGGTATTTTTGAATTGCTAAAAACTTCGAGAGATGATCAAATTTGAAGCAGTATGTATTTCAAACTGAAAATTTCTGATATGGTGAGTAGGTAGGTATGTTATGATTTAGATTTTTGTGAATTTTGAAAAATTGTAACTTTTTTTCTATTAGAGATAGAAAACTGAAATTTTCAGCGATTCTTATACCACTAGAAGACTATAATCCCTGAAAATAAGCAACTTGGGGTGATTTATCCATTTTTCAATTTTTCTGAGTGCCTTTTTTCATAGATTTCGGCTTCAAATCTGAGAATAATTTAGTGTATGGAGTTTGGGGGATTCCAAATGACCATTAGGATACAAAATCTCAACAAAAAAAAATTTGAAATTTCATCCATTTAGTAAGAAGAAGAAGAACCTTATGATTTAGATTTTGGAAAACTTTGAAAGGTCATAACTTTTTTTCTATTATAGGTAGAAAGCTGAAATTTTCAGCGATTCTTATTCCAATAGAGGACTACAATCCCTGAAAATTTCAACTAATTTGGACTTATAGTTTCAGAAATAAAATCGTGTTAGGCAGTTTGGAGTGATTTATCAATTTTTCTGAGTGACTATTTTCATAGATTCTGGCTCCAAATCTCAGCATAATTTAGTGTATAAAGTTTGGGGGGTCCGAAGAGACCATTGAGACACAAAATCTCAATAACAAAAAAAATTGAAATTTCATCGTTTTAGTACTGAGGTACTTATGATTCAGATTTAGGAAAACTTTGAAAGGTCATAACTTTTTTTCTATTATAGATCGAAAACTGAAATTTTTAGCAATTTTTACTCCAGTAGAGGACCATAATCCCTGACAATTTCAGCTCATTTAGACTTATAGTTCCAAAAATAAAATCGTGTTACGCAATTTGGGGTAATTTATCAATTTTTCAATTTTTTTGAGTGCCTTTTTCACAATATATTACTAGTTTGGTAGAGTAACATTACAGCCATCTACTCACCAATATATACTGTTGAACTGTTCAAGTAAGACATTCACCTGAAACGTGCAGTTTTTAAACTGATGAGAATAACTCATATTTGAGTGAGTCAGGTTAGTATCGTAATTAAACAACATATTGATGAATAGATGGCTGCGGTGTTGGTTCCGCAACAATCCAGTTATTTGTACTTGAACAATAACTTACATATTATATAAAGTCAGAATTGTAAGATTACCACTTTTTGTCAATTTGCCTTTTAACAGAAATTAATAATGTTACTTTACAAAACTAGGAACATAATGTAAGAAGTTATTCAAGTAGGTATAAACGAGTGGATTGTTGCGGAACTTATGGGTGGACCTCTGCGGGACGAGCGCAGCGAGTTCCGCAGCCATCTATTTACCAATATGTTGTTGAAGTACATACTAACTTGATTCTCTCGAGTTTTTCTCATTAGTTTAAAAACAATACGTTTTAGGTGAATGCCTTACTTGAACAGTTCAACAGGATATTGGTGAGTAGATGGCTGCGGAACTCGCTGCGCTCATCCCGCAGAGGTCCGCCCATAAGTTCCGCAATAATTCACTTATTTGTACTTGAACAATAACTCATTATATAAAGTCAAAATTTGTAAGATTATTCACTTTTTGTCAATTTGCCTTTCAACCAGGAATTAGTAATGTTACTTTACCAAACTAGTAACATGTGACAAGTTATTTAAGTCTAAATGAGTGGATTGTTGCAGAACTTCAAATTCAAAAAAGCTTTATTGTCGGTAAATTATAAAAATTCATTGACAAAGCAATCTTATAATATAATAACTAAATATAAACAATATGTCTGCTACATAGTTAATTTTAAAAGACCTAAATTAAACACACAAAACATTTTTATATGTCACGATTAAATATGTAAAGAGACGAAAATACTTAATACACAAAAGAAGAAACAAACAGTTATAAAGTACTTACATAAAAAAGTATATCTACTAATAAACCAGTTATTATCAATAGAAGAACATCGGCAACATCGGTAACCCCCTAGGTAATGACGATTTCAATATAAAAACAAATAAATCACTAAAAGATATATTAGGGCTTAGTAACTATTGCAATAAAATAGAAAAAATAAAAAGTTTAAAAAGTTAAAAAGGTTAAAAAGGTCAAAGCTGAAAGCAGCAGAGTAATATAATACTAAAAAACTAAAAAAATGTCTCAAAAAACAAACAAAACAGAACAAAATCAATAAATAAAACAACCAAAGCCGTAATATTCTTGAAGGCTGTAAAATGTTTTTGTTATCAGGAAATTTTTCACACTAGTACGAAATGCTCTGTACTCTCTAATATTCCTTGTTTGCTGAGGAAGATTATTGAATATTTTTATACCTTCATATATAATTGAGTGCTTGGTCAGGCTTAGCTTTGGGATTGGCAATGGCAAATTGTAGTTTCTCAAGTTGTAAAGTTCTGGTCTAGAATATTCTCGAAATTTCTTGAATATTAAACTGGCCACTTCCAAGATGAAAATACAGGGAACAGTCAGTATCTGCTCCTGCTTGAAAAGAGGCCTACAGCTTTCCCGACGATTTACCCTACACAAATAACGCAGAGCTCGTTTCTGACAGATAAACACTGATTCAACAGCTGCCTGTGTCGAAAAACCCCAGAATGCTATGCCATATCTGATGTGAGACTCTATAAGTGCATGATACGCTATTTTGGCTGTGTGCTTTTTCAGTTCATGAAGAATGCTTTGCACTATATAACAGCCCTGTGAGAGTTTTTTTTATTAAGGGTATCAATATGAGTGTCAAATTTGAGTCTCGAATCTATGTGCATACCAAGAAATTTTACAACAGTTCTATCTTCTACCAGCTTCTGGTCAAGTATGATTTCATTAAGAAAGAGTGCATTTGAATGATAGTATATTTGTTTTAGATATGTTGAAAACCAAGCGATTTACGTCACACCACCCCTTGATTTTTTCCAAGTCTTTTTCAATAATCGTGTTAAGAATTGTTACGTCTTTGTGTTGCCAAAGTATGGTTGTATCGTCTGCAAAAATTACAAAAGCTCCCAGAATTGACAGTGCTGCCAGGTCGTTAATGTAAATTAAAAAGAGAACCGGCCCAAGAACTGACCCTTGAGGAACCCCATGGGTTAAATTTAGCGTCTTTGAATTATCCTTACCATGAATTCTTATTAGCTGGGATCTATCCGAAAGGTATGCTCTAAACCAGCTCAACTCCGTTTCCCTGACTCCGTAGTGGCTCATTTTCCGCAGCAGTATTTCGTGATTAACACAGTCAAAAGCTTTTGAAAAGTCACAAATCACTGCCGCAGCTTTCTCACCATCATTGAGAGCAAAAAAGAGTCTCTCCAGAAACGTATATATGGCATCATTGCACCCCTTTGATTCCTGAAATCCGAACTGATCCGGTGTCAGAACATTATGGGCCTTTAAGTAACTCACCAGTCTCACTTTCACTATCTTTTCTATAATTTTCGATAGCGTAGTCAGTAAAGATATTGGACGGTACGCAGACGGATCTTCATTGTCTCCCCCTTTAAAAATAGGAATAACTACTGCCAGTTTAAGACTGTCCGGAAAGATTCCCGAGACAAACGATTCATTTAAACAGTCAGCGAGTGCAGTGAGTGCTTCATCAGGTAGATGTTTGAAGATTTTCAAAGTTATTTCATCTTCTCCTGAGGAGTTTTGTTTTTTTTAATGGTTTTTATAACCTTTTTAATTTCATCCCTGTTTGTCGGCTTAAGCCTGAATGTCTCAGTAGAAGGGTACTATGATAAGTAACTTAGTGGATCCTTCTTTCGCTCAATGCCATCTGTCAGCTTGCTCGCTATAGTGCAGTAAAACTGATTAAGATCTGTCGGATTTATTGTCAGATTGTTGCAATTCCGTTGTGTTTTTCCCCTCATTTCGCCTATTATTTTCCAATACTCCCTGCTAGAATTACCCGCTGCTTCTATATACTATAAATTTTGCGATATTCAGTAAAGTATGAATCAAACCAGAGTTTATAAATTTTTTTATTGTGTACAAAGAGCGAAGATTTTTACCTGATACTTTAATACCTCTTGTCACCCACACCTTTCTTTTCTTTTTTTTTAATTTTTCGCTTTGGAAAGCTTCGGCTAAAAAATTTCGAACTGTTTTTTGAAATGTAGTAATTGGATTTGCCGAATCTTTAATGTTCCCCCAGTTAATTGTTTCCGCCTCGTTTCGAAAAGTTCTATAATTTGCTGTACTAAAGATTCGAGACTCCCTTGTCACCTTTTTTTGCTCGTCATGGTGTAGCACCACTTCTGAAAATAGAGCCTCATGATCAGAAAAACCTGATGGAATTACTCTACAAATAATATCAACCTTGTCGATGTTACTGCAGATATAATCGATTGTTGTCTCTGAGTGGTTAGTAATACGTGTGGCTTCATTCACAAAAGTGTGAAGATTAAAACATGTTAATAAGTTTATTAAAGATTTCGTATCTCTGGAGTCCTTAATATCAAAGTCAATATTTAGATCGCCTGCTAATATAATTTTTGCAGTTATCGGAAATTTCGAAAGGAGAGTTTCCAATGACCTTAAAAATTCTAGGGGATTACCTGATGGAGGCCTATACACACAAACAATCCAAACATCAAGTTCCTTAACATAAACTATACTAAATTCAAATTTATTTTCTTGAAGAATGATTCCATGTTTATCGATATTTTC